CTCCCACATCTTCCCCTCAGTCTACTTTCCATGAGGAATCCAGAGTAATCTTTGCAAAATGTGATGTTATTATCTTTCCTTCCAAGCTCCATAGTCTCTGACTGCTCATTGAGTAGATTTGGAATCCTCCTGACCCATGTGGTCTGGCCTTAGTTCCCCCCTCCCACCTTTTCTTTCCACCTGCCCCTGTCCCAGCTTTTCTGTGCCTAGAACCTGCCTCATTGCTTCCGACCCCAGGATGTTTGCACATGCTGTTCCTGCCAGGATGACCACCCCTGTTTTACTGTGCTAACTTGTTCTCTCTTTTAGCTCTCATGACATGCCACTTTCTTAGGTGACCCCTGACACCCACCTGGAAAGACCCCACTATTGTGGAATCTTCAAAACCCTCTAGTTCACCTTTCCTTCAAAACTCTCATGAACATCATCCTGATTATGGAGCTGGTCAACCTGCTTCTGAGGGCCAGTTCCACACTAGTTCTGCAGAATCCTGAGAGCTAATACATGGTGAGGCCACCAGCTCTCTGCTGGGTCCCTGCCTGGGGCCGTGGGGAAGGAGAGGGCCTGCCTGAAATGCCTGGGTGGTTCCAAGCCCAGGGTATGGTCAACTCAGTTTGAGAAGTCCCACTGAGGACCTGATCCTCTTAGGTCATCTCTGCCTGGGGGCTTGATACGCTTGGCAGGGTCAGTGCCTACCCACCGAGGCTCAAACACGGGGAAAAATGTAGCTTTCGTAAGTTCTAATGTCTGACGCTGCCCTCAACCCTGGCTCCCAGTCCTAGGATAGAAAAGTCCTGGTCCATGAAAAGTAGCTCAGGCCCTTAATATTTAAAAGCTCTTAGAGGGATGAGCACAGTTGTGCACCCAGTGACTGGGGAGGCTGAGGAGGATTGCAAATTTGAGGCCAGCCTCAACAACTTAGTGAGACCCTGCCTCAAAATAAAAATAAAAAGGGGTGGGCATGTACCTCAGTGGCAAAGCACCCCTGGGTTCGATCCCTAGTACCACAAAGTAAGAAGAATAAAAAAACAAAAACCTGTGGAGGAATGTCATGAGGTCAAAGTTAAGCCCTGTGTCAGCCAGCGTTCCATTTGCTGTGCCAAAAATACCTGAGATAATCAACTTACAAGGAGGAAAGATGTACTTTGGCTCCTAGTTTCAGAGGTTTCAGTCCATGGCCTCTTGGCCCCCATTGCTTTGGGCAGAACGTCATCGTGGGGAGTTTATGGAACAGAGCTGTTCACCTCATGGCAGCTGGGAAGCAGTGAGAGAGAGACAGACAGACAGTCAGACACAGACAGACAGACACAGGAAGGAACTGGAGTCTCAATATGCCCTTCAAAATTAAGCCTCAGTGACTTGACTTTGTCCCACCAGGCCCCACCTCCTTAAGGTCCCACCCCCTCCCAGGGGCACCAGAGGCTGCCTTTAGCGTGTGGTCCTCTGGGAGACATTGAAGATCTAAAGCACAGCAGGCTCTGACTCAGGACTTGCCTTCGTGTGCTTAGGCCCGTATGACAAATCCCACAGACGAGGCCACTTAAAAGACAGGTGTTTATGTCTTACAGTTCTGGAGACTGGAGATTCCAAGATCAAGGTTGCCAGCCAATTTGGTTTCCTGGGGAGGACCCTTTTCTTGGTTTGCTGATGGCCAGTTTCTGCTGTGTCCTTACGTGGAGGGGATCGGGGAGCAGAGAAGAAGCAAGCTCTCTGTGTCTCTTCCCACAGGGCATTAATTCCATAGTGAGGACTCTCCTCTCTTGACCTAATTCTGACCTCACAGATACCTCCCAATCTATCACGTTGGGGATAAGAACTGAAACATACGAATGGGGTGGGGCATTTGTCCCCTGTCCCTGGGTGGGAGTGTGAGTGTGTGTGCACAGCTTGGCTTGCCCCAGCATGCTCTTGCCTCACAGTGGCCCTCACAAGGACCTGCCCTTGGGGTGAAGGGGTTGGTCCTCTGCAGCTGCCATACCAGCGGGTCTGCCTCCCAACCCCTGGAGACTAGCACTACCTGGGTCCTCTCTAAAACATGGCGGTAGAGGCCCCAGCACCAGGTAGGCAGCAAGTCACCCCCCCCCACCCGCTGTATCCTGCCCAGGCATTCCTGGGGTACAGGGGACCCCATGCTTCGGCTCACACAGCTGGGAGCTGGGTCACCCTCTCCTTCTTGCTCATGACTGAAACGTGTCCAGCGTCCATCTGGGCTCTCAGAAGCCACCTCCTATTGATACAGACCTGTCCCCTCTCAGAAACCGAGCAACAGCTGGGCTCCAGAGCTCTCTGTTTTCCCTTCCTTCTTGACAGGCTGTTTTCTATTCTCCCTCCCCGACTCCCAACTTGAGGCGGGACCATGGGGGCTGGAGTGGAAGGACTGAGGGGAAGCCTAGCCCCTCTCTCTCCTCCCCTCTCCTGTCCCTTCCAGTTGCCATGAGATGTCCCTGGCCTGGGTGGTTCCTGTACTAGGAATGCTCTGAGTCCAGTTGGCCAGGCTGTGCTCATCACAGATAAAGCAAATACTTTGAAAATTTAGAAAAACTCCTTTCTCTTTTAAGAAAAACTGTCTTTTAAGGCTAAAACTAGACTTTAAAAAAAATCTAGTTAGAACCTCAAAATTGAGCAAAGTCATCTGTGGTTTAGGGGGTCTGCACCCTGCCCTCAGGCCCTCCTGGGGGAACTGCAGGGCAGTATGGTTTACCAGCAGTGAAAAATACAGTTTCAGTTTTCGCAAATATCATTCCATGGTATGTGGGTGAAAATTGAATCCTCACAACAACTTGGTGAGATGAAGACTGTTATTCTGATTTCCCAGAGGAGGCCAGCAGGCGATGTGTGAGCAGGCAAGATACCAGGGCACGTGGAGGGCCTCCCCCAGCCTCCACCTCATCAGCTGCATGTGATGAGGCAGGCATTTGGGCATCTGGTAGGTGTCCCCCAGGGCCCAGCATCCCTCCTGCCCAGGGGGCAGGCACAGGGAACTCAGGTCAAGTCGCCGAGTCCCAGTGACCATCTGACCTGCACTCCCACAGGTCTGATCAGTTGCCCCTTCCCTACAGGAAAGGAAGGTAAAGAGGGGGAGGAACCAAGTTATGACCAGAAGTAGTCGGTCTACGCCAGGAAGTTCCCAAGAGGGGCTGGTGTTGGGCTGGATGGTGGCATCAGCCGGGGCCCAGCCAGCTTGTTAACTCTGCACTCCAATTGGGGCCATTTTTATCCACAGCAACTCTGACAGCAGCCACCGGGTTCCTTGTCTCCTAGGCCTGGTGTGCCTCCCCATCCCATCCCTCATGATTTGCTTTTCCTTGTTAACTCTCAGATTTCCTGAGGTAGCTTCCTGTTGTTTATAGATAGGAATTACAGTCGTTCAGACAGACATCCTAAAACTTGGGGTGCAGAGCATGATCAGCACCAGCCTGAGGTGGCCCTGGATGTGGGAGGTGCATCTGGTGATGACACCAGTGGATTTATTATTCTCTTAACACTCTTTCTTGAGTGTCTGCCCTGTGTTACCCTGTCCTGGGGCCTGGGCACATGAGGAGGGAAAATATGGATTTGGAACAGCTGTAGTCTACTGATAGAGGGTTCAGGAAGTCATGGGCCACCAGTGCTCCATGTGGAGCAGGTGGGAGCTGGGGAGGCCCTCCCAGGAGGAAGTAACTCCTGGATTAGCCTTAGGAGAAATAGGGTTTAGTCGGCCAATGAAGGAAGTCACAGTGAGGAGGCTGTTCCAGCCAGGATCCTGAGTGCGTGCCCCAGGAAGACAGGGATGGTGTTAGTTGGGAAGGAAGCCTCTAACACCCAGGGCCTAGGGCTAACCTGACCTGTGTTTCGGAAAGGTCATACTGGCTGTATTGTGGAGTGTGGGAACTCATTTCCTTTTTTGTGCCATGTACGTACCCTTTTGACATCTGGAGAAGTACATGGGCACCTGCTCAGAATGATATTTTTAAATGCAAAAAAATATAAAATACATAAGAGTAGTGATAGAGTGTCTATTAGCATGCCCAAGGCCCTGGGTTTGATCCTCGGACTGCTCCCTCCCACCCAGAGAAAGAGAGAGGAGAGAATGAAATAGTGCTGTAGTGAGCGCACACTTCTCAAAACAAAACAAGGAAAGCACATTTATGATTTTGTAATAACTACATTTATCATTAACAAAGTAGATTTGGTGGTAGGGTCTCAAATGATCCCCATTTCCAAATACAATCATCCTTCAGTACCCGCAAGGGATGGTTCTGGACCCTCTTGGATGCTCCGGTCCTTTATATAAAATGGCACAGTGCTGGTGCAGAATCTCCCCCCATCCTCCCATATACTTTAAACCATCTCTAAATGACTTGATAATACCTGGCATGAGGTAAATGACAAATTAATAGTTGTTAGTCTGTAGTGTTTAGGAAATAATGACAAGGTGGGGGATCTGTACCTGTTGAGCAACATTTTTTCCCAGATATTTTTGATCCACCATTGGGTGAATGCATGTGTGTGGAACCTGTGGACACGGAATGCAGTGCTGACTGTAGCAAGGTGCATAGGTAACATGGCATCAGCAGCAGTGACAACTGTGGAGTGGTTTCTGTGATGGGCAGTCCAGGTACTGCTCGTGCTGCTGGTGTTTGTTGCCTATTTTCATTCTTAAAGGAAAATCTGGGTTTTGGTTGGAGGCTATGTCAAATATGGAAGTCAGTGTCCTGGTCCAAGTTCAAGCTCCAGGTGAAAAAAATCCCAGGGATAGCTGGTAGGGGTCTCTTAGAAGACAGCTATCAGAATACAGGCTGGTGGTACTGGCTGTAAGGATGAGGTGGGAGGAGGCAGGAAGTGCAGGGATAAATTAGACTGGATGGCAAAGTCTGTGCAAAGTGCAGAAAGAAGAATGAATGGGGCAGCGTACCCTGGGTTCTCACCTGGGGGCTGATTGACTTAAGATGCCATTTGCAAAACCAGAGCTGGTCTTTGGGCATGGGGTTCCTGCTGATGCCTCCCTGGTTGTCTTTCAGGTCAACGAAATCTATCATGACGAGTCCCTGGGGGCCCACATCAATGTTGTCCTGGTACGGATTATTCTGCTGAGCTATGGGAAGGTGAGTGACTACTGTGAACTGGGTCCTGCCTACCAGGCACAGTCTCTGCTCTCTTGGAGTGAATGGGGCTGGAGAGTGAGGCATGGCCCTCCCTTGAGAGTGTTTTCTCAAACTGCCCGGATCTCTCCCAGACACCCTGTGGTTCTATAAGTAACGAGAAATCTGTGAGCCGTTTCATCCCTGATTCCTTATACCTTGACTCCAGGTTTTAAAATGTAGATTTTGTTATCATTCAGCAATGGTGAGGCCAACAGATCAGAAGACTCCTCCCATTGAAAAGATAGTTGTTACAGACCTTAAGAGATAGATGCATGCTGAACCCTGGGTGGCCACCTTGGAAAGCACCGGGTGGGCCACAGGGCAGAGGGAGTCGAGGAAAAACTGGCAAGAGCTTCTGTTCTGGTCTCTGCAGGAAAGACCAAGGCAGGTAGAGTAAGCAGGCTTAAGAGTGGCCAGTGTGAAGAATTATAGAAGATTCTGGAACATAAGAGCTGTACCAAGTTGTCTGATACCTGATCCTGGGGTGATTAGGACAGGTGGATGGTCACCCTGAGTGTACAGTCTGATAAAGGAGGTGGTCAGAGATATGGGCTCTGGATCAGTTGGTTTTCACATGAAAGATGCCCTGAGTTGTTTACTACCTCTAGGAATTGGCAATCCTGGAAGGAACAGTCCCTTCAGGGTTAGCAGTGCCTCAGATGTCAAAGCATCAGAAATTGTGGTTCTTACACCTCCGACTTTGACTCCTGACTGTGTCTAAAGTCTGTGCTGTCCTCTCCTTGTACCTTATATCTTCTGCTGAGCCCTCTTGACCTACCTACCTCCGCTTGTTATTGAACTTGGAAGCCTCTTTCCTGGCAGCATGCATGGGTCCCTGAGGGACAGTGACCTGAAACAGAAAGATAAGAGAATGCTATGCAGAGAAGACGATGAGGAAGGGGGGTACCCTGTGGCTCAGCCAGCGTGGAACGCACTTTGCATGTGTTAACCAGGAAGATGGGGAGGTGCACACGATGTCAGTCCCCATTTATAGTTAAGGACACTGGGGCTTAGTGAGAGTCAGCTGCACACCCAGGTGAGTGGCAAGGGCCATCGAGCTCTTCGGAAGTGGAGTCTCTCACACCGGCAGCCAAATTCTAGAGTTTGTGGTCTGATTCAGTGTCACTCGTAATATCAGATCAAATGCACTAGGCATGGGAATATAAAAAGGGTTAACACTTCTGCTCAAAGACAGAGAATGTCAACCCTCCCCCCCCCCAAATAAAATGAAACTTCGCACAACTTACATGGCACAAGGGCAATGAAGGGCTCATGGGGCAGACTGTATCCCAGAAAAAGTCAACCTCAAGCCTACTCTTCTTTCATCCTCAAACTTTGTTGCTTTTTTTTAAAAAAAAATAAATGATTTATTTATTCTAATTTGTTATACATGATGGCAGAATGCAATTCATTTCATATTATACATATAGAGCACAATTTTTCAAGTCACTGATTGTTCACAGAGTATTTTCACCCCATTCGTGTCTTCATACGTGTACTTAGGGTAATGGTGTCCAACTCATTCCACCATCATCGAAATTTGTCACTTTAAAGGATCTGAAGGCAGCCACAGGAAGGATACTAGTTATGGATCTCTAGGCACTCCAAGAGAACATAAAATATTCCAAAGCAAATCTTTATAACAAAGAAGACATTGTTGGAAACCTAACTGTGGGAGTGCTTAATGCCTATCAGGTTCTTTAACAGATGACTTGTTAAAAGGCATAGCAATATTGTGAATAAAGCAAAATTAGTAGTTAGATCATCTTTTCCCTTGCCCTACAGAAAGATATGTCTTCCTTTTGTGGAATCATAGAACATTGAAAGATCACAGAAGTATTTTAGGTCATAAAGAAAATTGTAGTAATGATTTTTCTACAGCAAAACTGTTTAGGTTTGACTAAATGCTTCTTACGTGGGGATGGTGGGGAGATAGGGGACAGTTTATAAACCTAAACTATATAATCCAGTTGGGTTTTTTTAAAAAACTTACTAGAAGGGAGAATTTTAGAACTGCAGTTGCTTGCAATTTAGAAAACTTAAAAAACAAAACAAGACAAGACTACCACATATCAAAAGGGGAGGTGACTAAAGCTGTATTCACAGGCAAATTCATAGGTGTTTTCTAAAGTCACACATTAGAGAATGAAAACAAGTTAGCCCTGCATTTAACTCAAATTAGAACAAATTTCAACAACAACAAAACCAAAAATCTTAGGAAAACAAAAATAAGAAAATAGTTCAGAAAAAAGCAGAAATCAACAAATTAGAAAATAGAAATAAGAGAGTCAATCAAGGAGAGAATTTGGGCAAAAGTTAACCTCTGGCATATTTAATTTAGATTTTAAAAAAAGAGAAGAGATGCAAATTAAAAGATCAGAAGGGACATGTGCACAGTTGGCCTCCCATATCTATGGGTTTGTCATCCACAGATTCAACCAACCCCCCAATTAAAAATATTTTTTAAAAGTTGGATCCATACTGAACATGTACAGACCTTTTGTCCTTGTCTTTATCCCCCAGATCAATACAATATAACAACTTTTTACATGGCAGTTGCATTGTATTAGATATTATAAGTAATCTAGAAATGATTTAAAGTGTACAGGTATGTGAGTTATATGCAAATACTCTGCCATTTTATATAAGGAACTTGAGCATTTGTGGATTTTGGTGTCCTTGGGGATCCTGAAAACCAATCTCTGTGCATACCAGGGGAAACTGGGATGACCGTAACCTACACAATACTTCATCTGGAAGAAGAGAGAGCACTCAGGGCCGTCAGCCCCACTAGGAGGCTGTTGGAACATTCTCATGTCCAGCCATACAGACATCTTTGGACTCTCCCCACATATCTCCCTCTCCAGACTGGCCCATTCCAGCTCTTCTGTTCCTAGCTGGTGTCTTAGGAATTTTCAGGTCTTTGGCATGAGAGAAGGGCATATTTATATCTCCATTCAGAAGTTTCTGGAGAAAGGAAAACAGTGGCCTTGACATGCGACTTTTGACAGCTTTGGGTATAGGAGCAATATAGGGTACCAAAAAAATGAATAGGGTGAATTTCCGAATTTGTATTTACACGGTATTGTATTACCTTGCTGAATAATTGCTTGCAGATGAATAAGAGTGCTGGCAAAAATAGATGATCTGACCTCTCTAGATAAGCAATTGTAAGATAGTTTTGAAAATAGCGAAGGACTTGAATTTTCTCCATGGTCATGACACTTGTGCTTGTGCTTCCTGGGGAAGGAAGAGGAGAAAAGTCGTCCTGTGGATTGGGCTTGGTCTCAAATGGTAGCTTATATTCCCACTTGATTGCTCCCATATTGATTAAAAGGAAAGACTTGGAAATCCTCACTGGATTCCAAAATCTCTGTGTTAGGGACTTGGGAAAACTGAGGATTTCCTGGGGGGAGGGGAGATGTGAGTATTTCAAATTTGACTCTAGAAAATATAGAACACACCCTAAATACCACAACCATGAAGGGAACTTAAATCCTTTACCATTTGAGAAGATATCTTAAAGTCATCCCTATATAGAGTCAGCTCATTTCTTTTTTGCCAATGCAGTCTTATTTAATGCAAGAAATTATTCAGTGAGGATAATACAATACCATATAAACATACATAATATTCCGAAATTGACTGAGTTCAATTTTTTTGGTAGTCAGTGTGACCCAGGCACCCAAAAGCTGCCATTGGTAGTATGCCCACATCAACCGCACACCTGTCTCGCTTCTAAAAATAGATATAAAACCCCTAAGGCACTGAGAGTTTAATTGAATGATGCACGAGGAGAAAATTCCATCATGATGAAATAGGGCTTATTCTATGAATGTGGGATTGTTTAATATCAGGAACTCTATTTATATAATTTGTTGCATCGATATGCTAATGACAAAATTTCATGTATACTTTTTGGAGGGTTTCTATGTGTAATCTGCTATTCTAGGAGTAATCGTGAGCAGTCCCTGTCCTGAGGGACTGCTTCCAGAGGGAGATGTAGATACGGAAACAACTGCAACAGAGGAGCTCCGGACTCCTCGGAGGAAATCTGGGGCAGGCAATCCTTACTCACAAGGTCAGGGAGAGCAACCAGAAGAAGTGACATGTTCGCCGAGGACTAATGGTGGATTCCTGTGTGAAAGGGGAAAGACCCAGCAGAGAGATGTTGTGAGTTCCAAGGCTGGAAGGGGAGAGAGAGCAGCACGTGCTGCAGGAACAGAGAGCAGCAGAGTTTGGAGGGACGGATGCAATGACGGGAACAGCAAGTGCTGACACTGACGAAGTCAGGAGCAGAATACAGGGGTTCTGCACCTCCTGCCATGGAGTTTGGCTTTCCCATGAGGGAAACTTTAAACAGAGCGACTTGATCTCATCTTTGTTTCTAACAAGACCCTTGGACTTCTGTAAGTGTCACTGCCAGGTGGGAGCAGTGACATAGGAGTTGCCACTGCCATCAAAGGGGAAGTTGATAGCACTGTGATGTGCCCCTCTTGCCAGAGGCCAAATCAACAGGGCTGCCTGATTTGGGGTTTGAACCTCTACAACTGTGAGCTAAATAAACATTTTCTGTTTATAAAGTTAGTTTCCTCAGGTATTTTGTTATAGTGATGCAAAGCTGACTAATATGCGTACTCAACTTGGAGGACACAAGAGGAAAAGCTGGAATGGGGAGAAACTCGAGAACACAAGAGGATAAACTGATGAGTTCAGTTGAGAAGCGCCATGTTGGAGGTGCCTGGGGCCATCCCAGTGAAGCTGGCCAGGAAGAGGTTGGCACATGGGTCTGGAACCCTTAGGGAAATTTGGACCCTGGAGATACAAGATGGGAGCTATTTACACAGAGGAGCTTGCTGAGTGATGGGACAGCTGAGAAGAGACCCTAGGGACTCCCCCAAGATGACAGAGACAGATTGGCAGATCAAGGAGGTGACTGGAAGCTGAGAGAATGTGTTGTT